TTGGTAAGACTAAGTTTTCGTTTTATTTAACTATCAAATAGAACTGTCTTATTAATTGCCTAAAAAGATCTACCGGCGGTATTTCCAAACCGCTACGACTTAGGGTCCTTCAAGAAGCGAGCTTATCACTATCTCAAAGGCCGGCAACGCATCTGCGGTTCCTCTGGTATTGCTGATGTCCATGGGCGTTGTTGAACACCTCAGTGTTCCCGCTGCTCATTTGCCCCCTTCTGTTATAAAAAAAAGTTCTTAACTATTCTTTAGTTAATTAAAACAGTCAATAAATCATCATTTAGTATGCAGCATTACAGTTTAAATATAAATAACATACTAGTTGTTGTATCTTGCAGGCACGGCGAGTGTGGCCCGGGGTCTGAGCTTGTACCTCGACTCAATGACCAATAAATCGATGTCGGGCTGGTTTCTGCAAGCTGCGCCTATCTACTCCCCACAATTCTCTCCCTACTTTGACCTTTTCTCCTTTCTTGTTGTACTCGTTCTCGGAGGTAAGTATAGTAGAAACCTTGTAATACAAGGGTTAAACCAAAATAATAGGACCCATAAGTGAACACCAGATAACTAGCCCAATAAAAATAAGTCCCAAACACTATCTGTTTTTGCATCTGATTATTACCTGTCTCTTTAGTCACATGTACCGAGTTTTGAGTGAATTGTTTTATGTTGTAGCGGTGCTGTCACTGGGTGCCCGTGAGTCTTCAGCAGTCAACAAGGTGCTGGCCGCCTCTAACATGCTCGTCATATTGTTCATCGTCATCGCCGGCGCTTTTAAAGGTAACAACTACAATGAAAATGCGCAATCTCTAACAATTTCTTTGCCTCAGTCTCAGTCACGGTTGTCTAGATGCGCTATAATACCCGTTTAATTTCTGTTACTATTTCAATATCAACAATCTAGAATATATCTCTTTTTATGGTTGTTAATAATTGTTATTTTATTGGTATATTTAAGCGGATTCCCGCAACTGGGCTATCCCGGGCAGTGAAGTGCCGGATGGCCACGGTAGCGGTGGATTCTTCCCGTACGGCGCGGGGGGCACGCTGCGCGGCGCTGCTGTCTGCTTCTACGGTTTTGTGGGCTTTGACACCATCAACTCTACTGGTGAGGAGGTATGTCACAAGAGATTTTAAATAGACCCGAATAGTTAGCATAACGGACAGAAGAGTAAAATTTCTTGTGCCTCGTTTGCTAATAATGCCACAAGTTTCTGTACATCGTTCAGAAATAGTTTAGCGACCTTTTTGATTTAATAAAGACTTTAACAATTGCAGATGACGTACTTATTACTTATGATCATGATATATAATTGTATTTTTAGGTGCGGGAGCCGCGACGTGCGATCCCGGTAGCAATTCTAACGGTACTGAGTATTGTGTTTGCTGCGTACGCCAGCGTATCTGTCGTCATCACTATGATGGTACCCTACTACCTTCAGGTAAGCACCATAAAGCAGATGGCTGATATTCTCAATTACTGTGTTGCTGTTTTCATTATCTCTACTGCCAATCAATCTAAACATATTATAATTCTCTTTTTATCTCCAGGACACTGTAGCATCAGTGGCAACGGCTTTCACATTCGTAGGCTGGGACTGGGCGCGCTGGGTGGTCTCTGTTGGCGCTGTGTTTGGCATCTCTGCGAGGTATTAAGCTATTATGCAAAATATGACTGCAAATTTTGCGCACAGAACTGAAACTTATCATTATTCTCCTCACATAACCACTTTTAAAACATCACCATCTTTGACTTTTAGCCTCTTCGGGTCCATGTTCCCGCTGCCTCGGCTTCTATACTCGATGGCATCAGACGGGCTGCTGTGCCACTGGTTTGCACACGTCACCAGCAAAAGAAAGTCACCAGTCCTCGCTACAATATTACCTTCATGCGTTATAGGTATGTTGAAAATATCTGCAGACATTGTAGATTGTGGCATATGCAATAAAGTTCTCCGAAAACTTGATCTGTATTTCACACGATAGGCGTCCGCTCTAACCGGCGGCACGGTTACTACTGACTTAGTGCTAACTACTTGAAATTGTTCTGGCTGACTACCGTAGGTATTCAATTGAGATTTCTCAATTTCCAGCCGTATTGGCCGCGATCGTGGAGCTGGAGCAACTGGTGATGATGATGTGCATTGGAACCTTGCTCTCCTACACCATCGTCGCCGCCTGCGTTATATTGCTAAGGTAATCTTGTAGATTTAAGGTCTGAGAATGTGTGAAAGTAAAATTTTCTGGATATCATCTGAATAGTTGTTAACTTTTTATGTTGCCAAACTTTTTGTTGATAAATATCATTTATTTTGAATTCAATTCTCTCATATGAGTAATTTTCTTTTGGTATTAACAACTCGGACTAAGTTAAGTACGATTCTTTGTCTCCTCTTTGGATGTTAGTTAATAAAAATATTTCATTCTGTTAATAGATATCGTCCAACGCCTTTACGCAACGAGGAGAACACTGTCCAGAGTGGTTGCTGCAATAGAAAGTCTACCTTATGCACGTCGCGACTCGTCAATACCACTTTGATTTTATATAGTAAGTTAATTTTATATTCTTTCTAACACTGGTTATCTGTTAACTATATTTTATTATATCCTGCAACAATTTTTCAGTCTGCATTTGCCTGTCAACCGCGCTGGTGGGTAGCTACGTGGCAGAGCCCCTCGTGCCTATTCTGGTGCTGCATGGTGTAGGTCTGGCGCTGATGATTGTCATCATAATACAACCGCAGGCGGACGAGGATCTACCATTTAAGGTACATCACGTAATGAATTCTTTGTGGAATTTACAAAGTGTTATAATTGGTGTCTGTTCATTTCTTAATTCGTGTTTTACTAAATTGCAGACTCCTCTAGTACCAGTTGTGCCGTGTCTCAGCATATACGCCAATATACATCTTATGATTCTCATCAATGTACAGACTTGGATTCGAGTTATCATCTGGATAGCGATTGGTAAGTTTCAAATGAATCTTTATAGACTAACGGTCGCCCAGGACTCTGTCCATGTGGTGTTAAAAAACATATGTGATCTTCCAGACTATAGCTACATGTATGTCAAATTTCATCGAGATCCGTTCAACCGTTCTAGAGATACCTTCAAGCAAACATCCATCTAAACATTCGCATTTATTAGTAAAATGTGTTGTTTGCCTAATATTGAATGAATATTGTTTTTGTTCCAGGTATTCCAGTGTATTTTATATGTACCTGCTATTACAAAAAAATGGGTAGGCGCAGTTCAAGTGAGGACAAACCACCGACAAAGTTAAATAAGAACGGCGGACCTCCTGTGAAGATAATCATCGAAACCCCGACACCTCCTGATACTATTAAAATCAGTAGTAGCCGAGGAGGAGATTTGAGTATAAATTCGACAATTAAAAGCAGTGTTGTCGGAACACCAGTAGAAGAAAAAGTCGTCAGAAATTACATACCCTTTGTTACGGAAGAGATAATTGTTCAACAAGCAATCATGGAAGATAATGATGAGAGGGAAGCGAAAATCATAGATTTATTGGATCAAGTGTTACAAGCTGAAGAAGATTCCTATGAAGAGATTATTACTTTACAGGAACCACAAAGTGAAGAGAAAGATAATACAGCAATGACAGTGGATGTACATAGAAAGTCGTTAAGTGAATTGTCTGACGCAGGATCGGACGCATCTTTGGGTAATCAGGTATTATCTAAATATGATGTTATAGCTCTAGTGCATAGAGAAGATTTACCAAAGCTAACAGAAGAGGAGGAGAAAAATGACAGAGATGATACCGACCAAAACGATGATTACGAATATATTACAGAAATTAATGAAAGTGAAACGAATTCCCGGACAGATGAGTCCGGTTACTCTGATACATTGGATAAAAATACATTAAGCGAGTCAGTTGAAGATAACAGAATACAGGCGCCCGTGATACCGGTACCACCACCTATGGATGAGAATCTTTTTTCAAATCCGTCTTTCAAAAAATCTTATACAATATCATCGAGACCATCAAAGGCGCGTCTATTTCCTGAACCACCGAAAGAAAAGCCCCGACTGAGTATACAATCCAACGGTTCCATTGATGAAGCGCCTATGGTTTTTGGTAGCGATAAACAAATGAATTTTATGTCAAAGTTAAACAATATATTTCAGACAAAAATGTCTTCGGTTAATGATGGCGATGAGCTAAGGAAAAGGTCTCATTCGGCCGGGAATTTGGCAGACAATGCAGAATATTCCTTGAGTCACGAACGGCCGCCAATTTACTTTGATTTGAAAAAAGAAATAGAGGCTAGAAACTTAAAGGAAGTGAGAGAACCAAAGAAAACCGGAAAAGATACAGTTGACGATAGAACAGAACCGAAGAAAAATGACCCCGATTCAGATGATGACGAGGATATGAGTTTAAGCAGAGAAGATTTGAAATCAAAGTTGGAGAGTATTTTCGCAGCCGGCGGTCCTCGGTTAGTGAAGCCGAGGGTAATGGAATCGAATCCACCTACACCCGAGGAACCATACTCATGGAGTGCGGAAAACATATCGAGAATTCCTAAAGTTGAAAAAAATGACACATTAAAGAGACAAAAAGCAAAGTTTAACGAAGTATTAAACTCGATTCGGTTAAGTATAAATAAATCCGATAACGTATAACTCACAATGACAAAGGTTTCGTATAATGCCAGATGTGTGAACCTAGTCGTATAGTTAAGTGCCTTATTAATATTATTTGTATGATTGTGTTGATGTTTTAAAACTGTTATGTACACATGAGTTATAACTCTTTATGTATTTAGCGAAACGAATTTTAGATTTAAGACTGCATTTCGTTTCTAATAAAATATTTAATTTCCATGTAAAGTTCTGCGCACATTTAACACGTTGACAAAGTTAATGTTTCCTAACCATAATAGTAGATTTTAAATTTTGTGTTTAGTTTATAGACTGAGGCCAATTTATGCTTAAGCTAACAATAGTAAAATAATTGTACAGATCAAATATTTTATTAAAACATTGAGATAAAAAAAATCCACCGTCCAAATGTATATTATTATTTATGCTTTTGTCTCGTTCTGATATAAGCGTTGTATGACCGGACGTAGCTCCATCTCTTTTGCACACTTCAGCAGCAGTTCATCGACGATTTGATCCGATACACTAAAAATTATTTTTACTATATACAAAAACTTAATAAAAATCTTACTAATAATATTTGTCGTAAGCAGTTACTTGTACTTGTACTTAGACCAAAATCCCCATTTCAATAATATTTTTACCTCTGTTTAGTCAAAGATAATAACAGGAATGACGATATGACATATACAGATATTTTGATATCAGAAACCAAGAAAAAAAAAACTATTTTAGCGTGGGCTGCGATTATATACAACTCAATTACTAGGAAGGTTGTTACCTATTGACCATTTCCCAGGGTTTCTCAACCGCACTGTTGGCATACATTGCACTAGTCAGCATATGTTGAACGTACTTAGTTCTGTACTGGAATAAATTGTCTACTGTCTTCTCTGATATGTTAAACGACATACGATACTTCTCCGCCTCCTTATCCTTTATGGTCGACAACCTCACATTCATCGACCTTGGTGATTTCTTTTGGATAGTCTCTTCTAAAATCTGGAGATTACATAAGTTTATTAGTCGCCTGTAAGATTATTACTGGTTTTTGTAGACCGTATTCCAATTTACAATCTCCGTTCGCTGAAGACCATTATCTTCATCTCTATTACAAGCTGCTACGCGAGATTCCTTGCGCGCAAACTTAAAAAAAAATAACTTAATAAGTAGCCTATGTGTTCTTCCAGATTCAATTCTACATCTATGCCAAATTTCATCGAGATCCATTGAGCCGCTTAGCAGATACCTTCTAACAAACATCCATACATCTAAACATTTTTAATATTAGTAAGAAGAGAGATGTTCTAGTTAAAAGTAGGGAACTGGTTAAGTATTACCACAGCACTCTAGTTCAAGTGACCACCACAGGCTAAAATGAGTGTTGTCAATATCTCATGAAACTAGGATTAATGTAGTATGAGGTACTTACCCGCAGAAGCTGTGGTGTCGTATGCTGACGCGGACTGCCGGTTCTTACGCAGTGAAGTTGTGCATTCTTCGCACCAGAAATACGTTCATTTTTGTTCCTAAATACAACAAATACGATATGACAAAAGCAACTACGACAATTACGAAGATTCATCCTCATAGACTTCTAGCCATAGCACATAGAGCATGATTTCTTAAAAACACGTACAAAACGAAAAGGTTAGTTCTCTCTATTAAAAAATAAAGAGAAATATAACAATGATACATTTAATTACATCGGTTCAGCTTAAAGAATAAAGTGGAAAGCGGTGACATCATGTAATGTAATTTAATAAAAACGTTTCAACTGGGATATACTACGGTACTTATACTATCAGATATAATAATTTAATAGCAAGGGGAATGGTGACATCATCCACTCTGTCATACATCAGAAGGGAGGGTCTGACATCGGGGGAGACTTGTCTAGACGAACAACATACACCCTATGTATACAGCACCCGCAGGACGCCGGCAAAAGTTATAAACACTATGAAGGTGACGCAAAGGACAGTTGAATAATGGATTTAAAATTAATAATTTTATGTTTACTTTTATGGTTGCGGTGATTTAAATTTGTGACTAAGATTAATATGTTTCAACTCTTATTCAACCAGACTGTGCAGAGCGCCTGTGAGAAGTAATTAGTTAAATTACGTTTCCGCAAAAACGGTATCATGAAAACAATAGGATCTGTATTAAACACTAATCAAAATTTAAAGACTTTAGGATATGCAAAGGTTTAATAGACAAAAGGTGAAGCGTGTAATTAGAAGTGCAATGATAAAGTTAAGTGAAACAAACACCGGCGGCATGACATCAGCACACAAGGCCGCGCCAATTTAAATCGCATTGCACAAATCGGGACGAGCAATTATCTTGTAGCGCTCGTTTACACCGCGATGGTGTTACTTGATCAGCAAATGCATTTAACATACTGACAGCACTGAAATTCGCCAACACAGAACCTTAGCCTTAGTATGTTATGTTTCTTTATACTTTTCGTCTTTGTAACTAATTGAAAACTCTATTTCTATTTACAATGAAACGTAAACTCAGTAATGGATTTTCATTGAGAAAATTATGGCGTCATAAACACTGTACTATCGATAAATTTAAAAAGTAATAAAGATTATTTAAAAGGCTTTGAATGATTAACACAGATACGAAAGAAACATTAAATTACTTTAAATATTTTCTTTACCCAATTTACAAATAAATATTTAGAACTGAATGTCGATCCAGAAATAATCAATCCAGTCAAAACAACACTTGGGACATACAGACAAAAACGGTGACAGACAAATTCTACCTACGCTGGATATTTTACACTGTAATTAGTATACTCAAAGATCACTCACCTTTAAAATTGCTCGTAAAAAATATTCTTAAAACATTATAACTGCGATTTATATAAAGAAAAATAATCCAAAAACTACGAACCAATAATTGTAAGACATGGATTAAAAGCTATCATTATCGGAGGACCTACAAGTTAGAAAATAGTGTATAGTTTAAAACTGTAAAATTATATCAAAAATGTGAACAGAATGTGCCCTTGACGTTGGTAACCCATATCAGATAAAAGCGGAACATAGATTGAAGTCGTAACAAAGTGCTTTCTGCACGAAAGGAACGGACTGGTACAGAAATAGGGTGATGTTTTTATACTGATGTCAGTGAAAATACGGTTATAAAGGATGATCTAAAAATACTTATAATCCAATGGAAAAAATGCTTCGATTTAGAGCGAAATTATTCTAAACTTTAAAGATGATCTTGGTAATCTATAAGTATCAGGAGTCCCCCGCTGAGTAGTATTTTCGGTCAAGACACTTTAAATACGATATTGTGGGCATCATTTTTTAAAATATAAAACACTAGCTGTCGCCCGCGACTCCGTCCGAGCGGAATTTAAAAAAAAGTCGCAGTGTAATGTTATACAGTCTAAAGCCTTCCTCTATAAATGAACTATCCAACAAAAAGAGAATTTTTCAAATCGGACTAGTAGTTCCTGAGATTAGCGCGTTTAAACAAACTTACGCTTTATAATATTACTAGCTGTAGCCCGCGACTCCGTCCGCGCGTAATTAAAAAGAAATATAATTATTACAGTTCCAGGCAACATTGTCCAGCGGACAAAATTGTGAATCTAAGCCATTCCCAGATCCCCTTGAACACACACAAAAAATTTCATCAAAATCGGTCCAGTCGTTTGAGAGAAGTTCAGTGACATACACACTCACAGAAGAATTATGTATATAAAGATTATTATATAGATGTAAGTATCTTGTTATACCATATCTTTTAAGGATGGAATATAGAATTAAAAACATTTTTCAACGCCAAAATTACGTTAGCTAATTCGTATCGAAAGGTAAGAAAAATAATATAGCATTGAATTTATTTTGCTCTTCGTACACTTATCGTTATACGTACAGTCAGCGTCATATAGATCGTCACAGACAAGATATGCAAATATATAGGTACACCAAAAGTAATCAATTATATCGGTACAACAAAAGTCCTCAAAATAATAGATACATTCACCCTGCTCAAATACATCGGTACATACACAGCGTCAAATATATGAGTACATGCAAGATGCTCATAAATATCGTAGCAGCCACAGCGTCATAAGTAACGAAGCAGTCAAGGTGCGCAAAAATATCGGTACATTTGACAAAATTGAACTCTATCTCTATATACTTGTGATACAATTTGGAATAAACTACTTCTGTTACATTCATTTGACACTTTGTATTAACATTATAGGTTGTCCGGAAAGTTCGTTCTGATTTTCGATATAAAGCTTACAATAGACTGTAGCTGAAGTGGATTCATTTTCGGATTTCCACCATTATCAAACGTCACAAAAATTTCTATATTGTGAATAATTTCATTTCATTGGTTGAGATAAAAACTAATTTTTAAAATTTTAGCCAAAAATAAAAGACTATAATTCAAAAACATTTCCAAAAATTTAAGAGAACAGGGTTTCAATTTTCCTTATAAAGCGGCACGAACTTACTGGGCAACCCAACATTTTTCTTCTCCTGTCATAACGCTTAAATATAAAAGTTTG